AAGAGGAACCCAATGTAATAATCTGAACAATAAAGATTTAATTAAAATAAAATAAAATAAAGTAATTGTTGATAAATATGAAAAAAAATAAAAATAAATAAATAAAAGTTGGTTCCCCTTCCCCCCCCCCCAAAAAAAAATCACAATTTAGCCTGGCCGGTGTGAGTCAGTGGTTGAGCATCAACCTATGAACCAGGAGATCAAGGTTGATTCCTGGTCAGGGCACATATCCCAGTTGCAGGTTTGATCCCCAGTGTGGGGTGTGTGAAGCCAATCAGTGATTCTCATTCATCATTGATGTTTTCATCTCTCTCTCCCTATCCTTTCCTTTCTGAAATCAATAAAAATATATTTTTGAAATCACAATTTATTTCCGAGTTTGAATTTTGCTGTGATAATATTTTGTTGATTCCAATCCTACTGCTGCTCTTGAGAAGTTTCTTAAAATAATCAGTGGACACAGGTTAGAAATTTTACTTGAAAAGAAAGGCAAGAAAACATTTTCTAAAATAAATTTATGTAATATATAAATTATTTATCTTTATCATATTACTTCTCTGCCCAAACATCACTGGCCCATCAAGAGAATTCTCAGACATGAGCAAGAGTAATAATATTCCATCAGCTTGAATATTTTGCCAACTTTGTCATATAAGAAACAGCTTTATATATTTTTTCATTTTTATTATGAATGCTTATTTGTAAAAATGGGAGACAAACATTTTAACTTGACTTTTAAAAATCCTCACCTTAGGATATGTTTATTGATTTAAGAGAGAGAGAGAGAGAGAGAGAGAGAGAGAGAGAGAGAGAGAGAAACATCTTGGTGTACTTTTTTTTTAAATCCTCACCCCGAGGATATTTTTCCATTGATTTTTTTTCCTTTTTTAGAGAGAGTGGGAGGGGTGAGAGAGACATATCGATTGGTTGCCTCCTGCACGACCCCCCCCCCCCCCCCAAAACATTTTCCGAAAATCCAGGCGGGGAGGAGCCTGTAACTCCAGAATAGGCCCTTGAACAGAATGGAACCCCGGAACTTTCAATTCGCAGCCCGAGGCTCTATCCACTGAGGCAAAACAGCTTGGGCATCTTGGTGGACTCCTCACCAATTGAGCCACCCAGGGAGGGTGACAACTTTGAAACATGTAAACAC